AACAAGATATTTAAGGCCTATCAGATGTTATATACATAAAATTAATAGTGATTTAATTAAAATCAAAATAAATAATACCTCCTTAAATTATAAATGCTTAATACCTCAATGTGAAATATGGAAAGATAAGTCATGTTTTTGTTCTTATAATTATGCAATTGAGTGTTGTAAAAAATAATAATATAACTATGGCGTGCCAAATATTTCAATGAGTACATATATTGTAATTATTGTTGTAATTATAATCTCTCTCTATTCCTTTGGCATGCCCTATTTCTGCAGATTTTTGATAATAAATGAATGCCTTATATTCACCTTTTCAACTCCAGTTCCATATTAATAACAATATCCAACATTATTTGCTACACTAGCATTCTCTAAATAATAAATAAATGTTATATGCTTATCTTTTTCAATTCCAATTCCATGTTGATAACAATATTCAACATTATCATTATTTGATCTACTAGTGTCTCCCATCTCTGCAGATTTGATAATAAATGAACACTCTATATGTTTCATAAATTTTTTAAATGTTATAAAAAAACCAAGCTTGTCATTGATGTAATAATGATACAAACCCAATCTTAAATATGAAAAGCCTACTAATCGAGCATTTTTCAGAGTAGACCTGTAAAGCCCACATACTTTTGTTGCTAAACTACCCAAAGAATAGACCTATAATTAAAATTTTTTATATAAATACGCATTACATAATAACTTTTTTTTTAAATAAATACACATTATAATGGGTCGCTTAAAATCACGAAATAGGCAGCTTAAAACAATTCGAAGTTCGCGAAAATGTGAACAACAAAAAGTATTAAAGAACATTAAAGATAATCCTCAAATTATAAATTTAATTGATTATTTAATCCTAATATTCACTCAATTAAACAACAACGATTTCAATACTTTAATAAAAAAAATATTCGAATCTTGAGAAATGACCACCTGTGTTCAAAGAAAATGCAATGATATATTTGTACGTGTTTGCGATTTACCTGATCAACAAATACTTGATGCTTTAGCTCTATTTCAAACAATGACTTATCCTTGAGGAAGTCATAAAGGAGAAATAATTTCTACCTATTTACAAAAAAAGGCTTGTGAGTTTATTAATACCAGTCTTTATATATCTGATTGTACTATAAATGCATTAGAATTAAAAAATAACAAGAGAATAAACGTTTAAAAAGATACAAATCTTCTTCCAATACTCATATTCACTCTCTTTCTGTGCAAGTAACAAGAGCAAAACAATCGAAACAAAGACAAATTTCAAAAATTTGAGCATCTATTCGTAAAGCTAAACGGATTCAACCAATTCAATTTCAACGTGAAGCCAATAAATTATTTAAAGCTAATAACAAAGAATATAATGCAAAATTTGTAAAATTAGCTACTAATATTAATAATATAGGACAAACTTCAATACGTGCGACAGTAGAATGTACTAAAGCCATCTATCAGTTCTTAACCGGAGAAAAGCCACAACAATAGATAAAACTGTCTACTTTAGCATGATGGAATAATGAGGTAGCAGCCTTGTCTTTTAGCCAAAATCATCCCAATAAAACTTCTTCTAGATTTTTTGATTATGGCATTATGGCTAATGAAAGCACACGGGGTAAAACAAAAATATTAATTATTTGTTTATCATATTGGAACAATATTAAAGAAAAGCCTACAATCACTGTAGTAAAATTAACTGACCTAATGCATTGTAACGCTGAAACGATTTCAACTATGGTATATGAAGTATGTCAACAAAAAGGAATTAATCCTCAAAAATGTCATTTTTGGTTAACAGACAACACAGCTTATATATCTTCGAAGACTAACAGTGCAATTGCTAAATTTAACCTATTAGCAAAATCTAAATCATTTCGAATTCCTTGTGGATTGCATACAACCCACATCAGGCTAATTAATTTTGAAAATTTAGCATTTGGAAAATTGGATGATACTAAAGGATTATCATTAAAAGAACACCTGTACAATTTACTTAATCTTGCATTTCACCTTCATGACAGATATGATCTTTCGGATAAAGACAGTCCACTAAATCTAAAATCTGAAATATTACAAAAACTCTACAAAATGCTGTTCGATTTTGAAATGACCCAATATTAACAGCCTATCTGTCAACGATGGTTATATAAACTTCGAACTGCTAAACAATATCTTGACAGGTGTGAAGTTCATATCTGCTTTGCACAATTTTTTATTGAGCAACTCGAAAATACAAAAAATGTTCCAAAATCATACTTACATAAGTGGCAAATATTTCTTAAATGGCTTACAGACAGACGACTTAATTTTCAAATTCGATGCCTTGTTAAGTTCGGTCTGGAGTTTTATGAACCTATTTATAATTTTATAAATGGCTATGACCTGGTTCCACAAATTCACCATCCAAATGGTATAAATACTCTTTCACCAGAAAATCGTACACATGAAATGCCAGACCAGGTAATGTTATGAATTCAAGAACTTCAACATAGCCTAGAAAATATTTATGGATTATTTGGAGATGAATTAGTTGATGCTGAACGTAAGTTAGATACAGTTGACTTTGAAGATTTTCATAAATCATTATGTGCAGGAGTAGAAGGTGCATTAAATAGATTTGTTAAATAGATGGAAACCTGGATTCACTTACCCTTATCCATTTGCTGATTAGGTAGAGAAAATGGACCAGAATTCGCACATGCTTTTTTGAGTGTATTTTTTAAAAAAAATTCTTTCAAGGTTCCTACTTTAAAAGAAATTTCATATATTAAACTTTTGGAAGAAGATTTATCTAACGGGTGATCAAATACGTTTGGATTATTGGAGGCATTAGAACAGCGTGATTTTTTTGAAGAGTTTGATGCTTTTGCGGATTCTGATTTAGCAGAACCAGCAAAGCTCTCTCTTATATATGAATTCATCAAATTCTGTATATGGAACATTGTAGTGCATCAACAACAACTTGAAGGATTATTCAATTGTTATGATATAAAGGTTCACCCAAGCATGAGTGCCCAGTTACAAGAATCACGTATACAACTCTCTGTTTTAGATGGTGGAGTTCAGGAAATTTCTCAGGATATGTTACGAAATATCCGACATGATATCAAAAATTCTGATACTAATGAGCAATTAGAAAAGAAGGAAATTTCTA